GACTCGGGGGTGCCTGGGGGGAGCCGTTTGGTGGCAGCTTCTTTGCGGGAAGGGGCCTGCCCTGCCAGGGGAGCGCTCGGTGAGGTGGTGTCCAGCCAGGAGGGAGCCTGGGTGAGGTGGGGGCCTATCCAGTTGTGCAGTTGGCTCAGCGCTATGCTCGGTGACACCTCTGTTCATGAGGCAGCCAAGCATCCCAGACTGGGTAAACATCTGCCTCACTTACCTTTTCTCTGTTTCTTATTCTGCTGTACTGTTCACTTTCCACCCTCCCCAGCCTCGTTAGCACATTCTTGCACACAGTTCATCTATTGGTTGCAGCTTCTACTGGGCATGCTTTGATTGTTGTTTTTATGATTCTATGTATTCATTAGGATGCCAGCAAGGTCTACAAGTCTTAGCATCTCCTTGTTTCATGCTGTAGCTAATACTTGAAAGAGGCTCCTAATGGAGTTCTCCAAACCTAGGTAGTCTCAGACTGCTGCCTTGATGTGGCACAAACACACAGAGCACATCAGGCTGGCCCTCTGTCATTCTGGCGTTCATATAAGCCAGATGTATTTTATGGCTTGTGTACATACATACGGGCAACAATAATCCAACTGCTTCTGTGACTGGGTCAGGTGAAGAGGTGGGCAAGAGAAGAATAGCCCTGTGAAAACTTTTGCTGGAGATCAGATAGCCTCTGGTAGTCGGCTTAATACAAAAGTTATGGTTGTTGATATTTCTGGCACGTAAACAACATATTTGCCCAGAGATGCTGGAAGTAGCCGAGGAGCACTGGGAGCAGCCCCAGAGCATCAGGAGTGACCACTGAGGACCCTGGGCTGCTCCAGGAGGCCCTGGGAAAGACCTTCATCAGCCCCAGAGGTGCCCAGACGCAACTAGGAAGACACACATATGGCTCATCCTCCGCATTCGAAGCCAGAATGCAGGAGGTTTGTGCAGTTTACTTCAAGATAGCTGAGTAATGCAAAGGCAGTAGGGTCCAGATTTATCCCACCTAATTATAGACATTGATTTGAATAGCTAACTCTGGGCTGCGTTCACACCAGAGTCGGTGGTAAATGGTGGCTCTGCTCACTCCAGCTGTGAACAGCCCCCTGATGACACCTTCCTGTTCTCTGTAAAGGTGTTTGAGGGGACCAAATCCTCAAAGTCTCAGTATGATGTAAGTTTCAAAGGCAGCTGGGATGAATGCAGATCAGACTTGCTTAAGATTTCATGCAAGGCTGTAACAATCAGTAAAGACAGCTTTTCCTCCAGGATATGATGTTACTCTTCTGAGTAACACAAAAAATGGATACTGTCTTGTTTCTGATTCAAAAGATGGAATGTAATCTAGTCTTGCCTGTGTTTTGCTGTCTAGGAAAATACAGTCAGCATAAATTCTCATTGAGGTGTGCTCAGAACAGCGTTAGCAAGCTTCTGCGTTCATGAAGCCCTAGAAAACCATCCCTAAAATGGAGCAGGGAGAGCCACCTTGTAGGAGGTTTGCTGGTACAAGTGCTGCTGTATTTAATGCAGATACAGGGTTGGGTTTGTTTTTTTTTTTCAGCCAGGGCCAGAAAGCAAAGGACTGTGCATCAGTGGCAAAGATATATTTCCCTACTTTGAAATCATGAGCCTTTGTAGCTAGTGCTTCTCACAGCTGGTCCTTCAGCGCGCACTGCCTTTAATGTTTGGGAAGCTGTTTGGTAACGTGTAGAGTGAGAAATGGTTGCCACCCCCAGCGTTCCTAGTGGCACCAAAAAGTGGAAATACTCTGCTCAGTTAAGACTTCTGATATCTATCTCCAAAACGCTAGCAGGATCACACCCAGCAGAGCAGGGAACGAGACCCTATGGGGTGGCTAAAACTTGGCACCTGTGAGTTAGCTTCCAGAGGCTTCCCTGGGAGATTCAGCCACCTAAAGATCTGTGGGTTAGGAGGCATTTGAAATTATTCATGCAGCATTTATTTTTGCTAATTCTATCCAGTCAGCTAGTACTTCTGTTCTTAGCTACATGCAGATCCACAGGAAATGACAATTCTATTTTAAATATTTTTGCATTTTTAAAGTTAAAGTAAAGTGCCTGTACTTCTAAGCTCTCTGTGAGGAGGAACACAGCCAAGCTGCCAGGAATCTCCATGGAGAGCTGCTGGAGCTGCCGACCATCTTAGCCCTGTGACTTCTAATGCTGTGGCAGCCCAGCAACCTAATTAACGCGTACCAGAAGGTGAGCTGGCAAG